CCCGTCACACCTGCTGTTAACACCCTACTAAACTACACGCTCTGGTCGCCGTCGTCCTCTCCCCTCTCCCCCTCTCCTTCCCTTCCCCTCAATCTATGCTCCCTCCCCTCTCCCCTCTTCCCCACCCCTACTCCTCCTCCCTCGCACGAATAATCCCGATGAAATCATTAGAGACCTAAAATCTCGATCTTCTTTTGTTTTCTGTCTCCGGAATCATGCGTCTTACTCGTGTCAGTTTGTGCAGACAGACTCGTCAGGAGTTTCAGTAGTGTGAGATTTTTTTTATTATTTTACTTTTTTCGAGATCCAGTCAGTTTTGAAATATATTTACAGTCTGCAGAAGTTTTCGGAATATTTGACAGCCGCGTTAGCCGACTTGGTCCGGCAGTGTTGCATGATACCATAGGCTGGTTCATTCGACCAATAGGAACTCGTTTCGGCCAAGTCCCGGGGTTTTCATTGGTCCTTGTCAACGATCGTGCATTATTACACGAACGTTACGCAGCGCTCTAAATCTTTTTCGTTATCCAATCCTGGTGATGAATTCCCAGAGACTTATTTATCTTCTCATGCGCGATAATAACGGAATACCCCGTCGCATAGAGTTTTAGAATATATTAATAACTTATTTTGTCTTATCTTCCTAAATCCCACGATGATGTAACGTGATGTGTACATTGTTGAGCGCGTTTATCAGATATTATCAGCCTCGGACAGGGAGTTCGGAGTTGGCCTCCTTCTTACCTGCAAAAAAGACAAATTAACATCATATATATTTATCTGATTTATAACGTACTCATACCTTGTATTATTTTTTTTCTAAGCAAAATATGAAACATCTGAAAAAAAAAACAGTATAAAAAACACAATCCATAAAACAATCTTTAAAACTGGTGGGTATTGGCAATGCTGCTTTTGTTGTTTACATCCGTTACCATAGAAACCATCGAGTGGGGAGAGGGAGGGGGGAGGGAGGAGGGGGTTCTTCCGGTTGTAGTTAATAGCAGCGCTCTAGTTTCAAAAATATTCGTTATTATCCAAAAGGACGTAACACTATCTTACGACAATAGTAGTATTTCATGATGATGATTATTACGGAAAGAAAAAAATATGAAATAACTGAAAAAGACCACACATGAAGACAAAGAAAAGGCAAAACAAGAAAAATGAAGAAAACGAAAAAGGAATAGGAAAACAAATATGAAAAAGAAAAAGAAAAAAAAACAAATGAAGAGCACCAGAGATTAAAGATATTCGTAATATATATGTATACACCATCGCGAGCTCTTGAATTAAACTTGTTAAATTAAGTAATTTCATCTGCTTAACCTTAAACCGTTCATGACCTTAACTCAACAGTAACCAACAACAAATTACAACTGTTATTCTATTACTTTTAATATTTGCTTCCTCTCCTCTCCTCTCCTCTCTTTCTTTTTATCTGTATATATCTATATCTATATTTTTGTCTATCTGTATGTATCTATATACATCAATGCTCTTACTATTATCATGATAAAAGTAATAATATTAATATCAACTACTAAAGGTATGGGGAAAAGTTATGAAATAGAAAAAAAATGTAAAGAAAGAGACGGAGGGGGCGAGAGTGAGAGTAATAATGATAATCTTTATTTCCAATTTATATTGGTTATTCATTACATTGGTTTTTAATTTGATATGTAGTACATAAATTACGTAAGATGTTCAGTAAACATTGCATTTTGTACTTTAATGTTTTTTTACGTGAAATTAAGAAAAATGTCTTCTTTTCAAAACTTTTGGAGGTTTTGGGATGCTACATAAATGGCCTTATATTTCTGTATGTAAAATGAACATCGTATAAGGAAATGAAATCATATTATTGTATAAAATATATTGCAATGGTGTCAACATTAAAGCAACTTAAATAATTACACTAAGTCATACACGAAACTGGCAATTGGCGCATCACAGAAAGTTCCGGTTCTGTTTAGATAAAAGATATTTCTTTAATATATCTATAAAAGTAAAAGCAGAAATGGAGCACGTATCCCTGACCTAATATGCGGCCGGTTTGTTAAAATTGTGCCAGGCCCGACCCAATGATTTTTTTTAAATAAATACAGACGCAGAAATAAAGGCATATCTGTCTATATACCTGATAGATATACATTTAACTATCTATTTGCCCGGTTGATATGCATGTGTAAACTGATAAATATGCATTTATTTCTTTATTTATGCGTGTCAAGTATACGAATATTCTTTGGGTCGGGCCTCGCGCAATTCTAACAAAGTGGCAGATGGAATCTTCTTCTGGGACCCTCACCGTCAGCATTTACCTTCCAGAATAAGCAGAGGTTCCTGATACAAACAAATCGTTTCTGTGTCTCGTACTTTTACCTCTTATTTCCTTGACAGTTATTTTGTCAAAAAGACAGATAGGTAACTGATCATTCAAGATCTTCATAACTAGAATGTCCATGTCATATAGGCATTTGTCATCAACTCTTAACTATTCTAACTGTTTAAAAGCTGGGTATGTGAGCTCATATTTTCTTATATCCCCAGAGGCGACCCCTGCGATTTTATTTTTTATTTGTGACCCCCACACTTTTGAACAGTGGTTTATGATGCTGAACACGAGTGACAACACAAAATTATTAGAGTGTGGGTTTCAATTTTTTCTAATTCTGTTCATATAGATAAATGTTCTCATTACTTTTCTGCACATTTCATTTATGTTAAAAAACATGATGATGCACCAAAACCCAATTTTTTTTTACAATAGTACTTGATATTATATGACTTCCAATAAGACTTATAGCAATATCATCCTGCAATTGAGAATCATAGTGCCGTGAACGGATAAATATACACTTTTCCTTTCCTTCAGTAACAGGCAATTCTTTTGAAAGTACAATTTAAGAGAGAGTAAGACATTCTCTCCTCTGTCTATTGATTCCGAGACATTTTCGGTATTTCCAGACAAAGGTAACTAAGTATCACCTGCATACTGCACTACAGAATACCCTGGTAAACTCTCAGATAAATAATTCACACCAATTGAAAAGAGAATCGGCCCCTGCACGGATCCCTGAGGAACTCCAAAGGAAACATTTCTTTGAGAAAATACGACGTTCTTGTACTACTGAATGTGATCTGTTTATAAGATGTTCCCGGAACCAGAGTATTTCTGAGTTTAGTTTCAAGCATTTTTAATAAGAAAGCCGTGGTTTAAGCTGTCGAAAGCTTTAGAAAGGCCTAGACGTAAAAGAACTAATATTTCCTCACTATCAATATTAGATAGAGAGAGAGAGAGAGAAAGAGACAAAACAGAGATAGAGAAAATAACAGAAAGAGATTAAACAGGGACAGAAAGGAGAGAGAGAGAGAGAGAGTGAGTCAGACAGACAGACAGACAGAGATAGAGTGAGAGGGAGACCGTCAGAAAGAGAGACAAAGGCAGACAGAGAAGGAGGGAGATAGAAACAGAAGAGACAGACAGACAGAGACAGTGAGACAAGCAGATAAAGACAAACAGAAAGAGAGAGAGAGGAGAAAGAAAGTGCCAATACTCTTCATAGATACGCTACGCTTACTGATTATCGAAATCGTAAGGATGAAAAAAAAAATCACAAAGTTCCACACATGACTTTCTTCCCCACTTTAAAAAATAAGACTCATCCTATTTAACATTTAAGGTCATTTTATTTTTTAACGGGATTCCCCTCACACTTACCCTTCATTATTCGTCCGCTGGTTTTGTTTATGAAAGCTTGAAGATCAGTCCGTTCCACTTCCCGTTGATTCAAAGGAACGAAAATGAGAGAGAAGGGAACGAGGATGAACTGGTTAGAGGAGGGAATGGGAATGAGACGACAGAAATAAATACAAAAATGAAACAAATGGACAAGAATGGAATGACAAATGAAAACAGAGAAAAAACGGAATGCACGGATGAACAAAAGACATGGGAACAGGAATGAAACGATAGCGAAAAAACGGAATGAAGCAACAGAGAGAGGGACAGGAAAGGAACGACAGAGAAGGGAACAAAAATGAAACGAAGCAGCATGATTGGAACGATAGACATGGGAACAGGAATGAAACGATAGAGAAGGGAACAGGAATGGAACAACAGAGAAGGGAATAAAAATGAAACGAGGGGAAAAATGGAACGACAGAGAAGAGAACAGAAATGAAAAGAGAAGAAAAGAAAAAATGACAAAGGGAATAAAATTGAAACAATAGAGGAAAGAACAAAGACGAAGCGGAAGTGAGTGTTAAAGAAACAGGAATGAAACAAAAAAATAAAAGAAAGAAACGTTAGAAAAAGGGAATAGGAATGAAACGATGATAACAAGAGGAAGAACAGAAATGGAGGAAGATTTCAGACCTTTATCCCGGCTTATTTCTCTTCCATCTTTTCCTTATCTTTCTTCTGTCACCTATATGCATTTCCTTTGTTTTTGATTGTTGTCGTTTTTCTTCTTCTTCTTTCCAAAACCCATGAGACTAGAGAAGGACAGAGGAAAGGAAATCGTGACCACACCAGACTGACGGCTGACAGTCTCCTGACATGACGTTCCACCCATTATAGAACTGAACGAATTGAAAACAAAAACACAAAAAATAAAAACATCTTTTCACTTATTATTCTTTTCTCTTTTCTTCTTCTCTTATTCTTTGGCGTCACACGTAAACGTTCGATTTTGCTTATGGTGACGGACGAGGTTTTAATGGGGAGGAGATTATCCCTGGGACCACGGACGCTGGCGAGGAGAGAAAGGAAAGGAGTTCTCGCGGACGCCGGTCTTTCGGCTTTCGTAAACACCTCATTTCAGGACGAAGGCACGGTGATTCTAGAGGAGATGGAAAGTTCTCTTTTTTTCCTATATTTCCCCCCTATCCCTACGATATTGGGGGACACGTGGGGATTTTTTTTTTTTTTTTTGGGGGGGGGGGGACACACGCCCCCAACACAAGCTTTGATTTGACAACTGTAAAGAAAGTAC